CTTTTGTCTCTTCGCTTCTAGTGACCCCTAGTGCTCCTGGCTTTGGATGGCATAATTCCAATCTCTGCTCCTGTCTTCACATGGCCTCCTCTCCTCTTTTTATAAGTACACTAATCATTGGATTTAAGGCCCACCCTACATCCAGGATGATATAACCTAGAGATCTTTAACTAATGACATCTGCAAAGACCCTATTTCCAAATAGCATCACATTCTGAAGTTTCCTGTGGACATGAATTTTGGGGGGATTACTACTTAACCCATAAAACAGATTTTTGTTTTATTTTGTTATTCCATGTTTTTATTGTTGAGTTCTAATTTAGCTACACTGTAGTCAAAGAAGCTGTTCTGTTTGAACATCAATTCTTCAAAACCAACAGCTTCATCAATTTTTCTAAGTGTTCCGTGTGTTCTTAAAAAAATGAAAAGTTCTCTATAGTAAGTCAAACTTTTAAATTCCATTTTTAAATCTTGTCTACTTTAATTTTCTTTCCTGGTCTCTCAGTTTCTGACAGATATGTATTGTTGGGTTTACCTATATATTCCTGTCATTTTTCCTGCATACAAGTTTGAGTAAAAGAAAATAAACTCAAATTTTATCTTATTGGTATATTTGAGCCTTTTATTATGAGTTTACGAGGTAAACTCATAATATATATTAATTTTTTTGCCCTGGAATTTTATTTTGTCAATATTAACATTGCTCATTAGCTTTATTTTAGTTAGTATTTGCCAAATATATCATTTTCCATCTCTTCCATGTTTTGGGAGGTAAGGCAAAATAAACTGTAATCTAATCAAAAGAACATATACAAATGGTTTTGAAAGTCAAATAGTTCTAGTAAACTTATAACAGAAATCAACAGTTTTCAAATACCACCAATTTATTTAGCCATTCCTTCTAGTATCACTATCCTTGTTTCCAAATAACATGCCTTTATATTGCTGTATCCTTTTTAGTTCCAGAAATTATTTTTCTATTTCCTTCTATGATCAATATGGATTTACCTTTTATAGAACTTTCCTGTCACACCCATATTCCCTCAATCTATCTTCTGAAAAGTTTTAGCCCTATATTAATGTTCATTGTTTATATATTATGTAAATTGTAGTCATGATGATTAAATCAATATTCAGTGATTGTGTTACGTTTCTATTATTCACAGTTCAACCAACTAGTATACTGTAATCACATTTATTTTCTTTTACAAAGTTTTGCTTTTACTGAGGAGTTAATAATTGCCTATTTTAGCATTTGCTATGTTTCTATATACCAATCCCTACATCATCCTCATAAATGTAAATAGAATTGGAAATCTCTTCTAAATACAGTCAACTACATAAGGTATTCTATCAACTCGACCTTTTTCTTACAGTCCTCAATCTGAACTTGTTCTAGATCTTTTGTACCACTGCTGCAATGGCAATTCCTTTCCCCTCTCTTCTATGTTGGCCCCATTTCCTCCATCCCATGTTTTCCTTTAAAAAAAATTAAATCTACTCCTTCATTTTATTTAGTGAAATAATTTTCCCTCAGAATTTCAAGGCATTACTCCTTTGGTTTCTAGTTCCATGTATTATTTTTGAAAAGCTTAATGTCAGTCTAATTTGCATTTCTTTATATGGTACCTGTTTTCTTTCTGGAAGCTTTCAGAATCTCTTTCCTTGCCAGTGTTTCAAAATTTCAAGGTCATGTGCCTTGGTGTGGATTTTTATGTACATGACAGTTCCTATTAGCATGGAAATTCATATCCTTCAGTTTTGGAATTTATTCCTATACTAGTCCTTTGAGTTCTTCTTTTCTATATTCTCTATTATCTCTATGGAACATCTGTTTTTTGACGTTGACCCTCTGGGGCCAATCTTGAATTTTTTTTCCTTTTCCCTTCTTTTTATGTTGTTTCCTAACAGATTTCCTCACTTTTATATTCCAATCCTTCTACTGAGATTTTTACTTCTGATATATTTAATGGGCTCACTTAGCTATTACACAAAAGTCACTATTCAATTTTCCCCAGCAAGTATCTTCCCCCTATTCTTCTTAATTCTTTAAAGTGAGAGGCTCTGAGGCTGGGCTTCTCTGACAGTGAAATAAGAGGACTTTTCCTTAGGATGTTAAGTCTGGAAATAGACCAACAATAATAGTAGCAGTGGACCCACATAACAAGTGGGAAGTTATAGGGGTCCCTCAGTGAACAAAGCCCAACTTATTTCACACACATCATCCTTACCAAATGCAAACTAGAGGTGAGCTATATTTGGTAAGTTCATTGTGCAGACTTCTGATGGAGTTCCCTTAGTCTATCACTTCATTCCCTGCCAATTTTTCTATATCCACCTCCTTCTCAATTGTCTGACAGTGGGATCACAGGGTTATCTATATGTACCAAATTGCCACTAGTATATAGCTCGTATATGAGAGTTTTCATTTATGAACTACATTTTGCAAAAATATTTGCCTTTCTATTTACTTGGCAGCCTCAACGTTAACTGGCAGATGTACTTCTTTTATCTTATTTCAAAAGACTTCAAAATGCTTTTCAGTGCAACAAAAAGTTATCTGGAAGAATAAATGTGTGCACTTTAGCAAGCAGCCTTTCATTCGGTTTCCTCATAAAAGCATTAACAACATCACATGAAGTCATTAACACTATGCCAAAACTGGAACATAGAGCCAGTCTATGTTTGAATACTGCCCCGGGATCAGTAGGTCCTATCTGACTAATAGCTATGCACAGGAATAAAAAACTGTAAATGCAACAAAGAAACAAACGCAAGTATACATGTAGAATTTTCAGTGGCTCCTGGAATTTTTATTTAATAAATACTATTGTGCAACAGTTAAAGAAGCACAATGTCAGGGATGCAAAGGAAAAAAAATCATGCAGATTCCTACAGATTAAAAGCTTTTATAAAACAGTGGGACCTATATCTGGGGGCAAGGATGAAAACTCAAATACCCACAGTCACCAGACTGACAAGGTAGATGTATGAAGTGGATTGAGTCCAAGACTCGTGGGGACTGAAGCAAACAGGAGAATGTATGTCCTCTCTGCAGAGGACAACCATGCCTCAGGGTCAACTGATAACTGCCATGGAGGAATACAAGTTGAGTGCCACTACATATTCTGACTTCTCAAGTGAAGCCCCAAATCTTATTTTTAGATGTTGGCAGCAAAATTTTTAAAAATTTAAAACACCATGGGAGCCATACACTTTCCTGCAGAATCTAATCTATGAGACATTAGTTTGTACCATCTGACAGATAAATTCATGAGGCATTTTAATCAAGATTTTCTATGAATTTTAGTCTTTAAAACATACTTAAATGGATACTATTTCATTTCAAAAGTTGCAATATATTTCCCATAGTGAAAATAAAGTCTACAGTTTTCAAAAATCTAAAGCATTTAAAAAGATTTTATATTTTCCTTCTTGTACATATCCAATAAAACAGCTAGGAGAAAAGTTTGCATTAACAAAGCAGAAAAAAAAGAAAGCCTGAACAATACTCTCATTTAAGATGAACAGGAAAAAAATAAAGGCTACAGAGGGCTTCCCTGGTAGCACAGTGGTTGAGAATCTGCCTGCCAATGCAGGGGACACGGGTTCGAGCCCTGGTCTGGGAAGATCCCACATGCCGCGGAGCAACTGGGCCTGTGAGCCACAACTACTGAGCCTGTGCGTCTGGAGCCTGTGCTCTGCAACAAGAGAGGTCGCGATAGTGAGAGGCCCGTGCACCACAATGAAGAGTGCCCCTGCTCGCCGCAACTAGAGAAAGCCCTTGCACAGAAACAAAGACCAACACAGCCAAAAACAAAGAAAGAAAGAAAGAAAGGAGTTCCTTTAAAAAAAAAAAAAAAAAGGCCACAGAATACACAAAGCCAATCCAGTCACCTGCATTATCTTTCTGAAAGGGTTTTTTCCCCATTGACAAGAATGCCTTAGTTACCACCCTCTTACTGTAGATCCCCTCTTTATGTTTAATGTTAACAGTGTCTGCCAGGTCATCATCCCTTGTGCCTAGCACCTGAGCCGGGAAGTCTGGAGCAATGGCATCATTGGATCCTACAGAAAAATGGAAAAGTAGTACAGTTAACACAAGTACAGATTGAAGAAAGACAAAAAATTTACCTCTTAAACCATTTCTATAAAAAAGGCACTACCAAAAAAAATAAATAAATAAAAGGCACTACCATGGGAGTGTTACAGGGTAATCAGAAGGAGACATCAGTCAAACTGAAGCTGTCAGAAATGTACAACATTGCAACAATATACTGGAGAAGCAAATGACATAAGAGGAGACATATAAATTAGAAGGGAGACAATTTCTGGCTCAGGAACGTTTTCAGAGGAGGAGAAAATAGTTTGTACATTGGAAAATAAGTAGGCTTTTTGAAATATGGAGAGGGAGAAACAAAGGCATTTTAGGTAGAGGTTACAGCATTAGCAAAGACCAGGAAGCAGGAAAACAGATTAAACAAAAAAATCAGATACTTTCATGGTCAGACTGTATTATGGACTACATTAAAGACAGTGGTGGGAGATATTAAAAATTGTTTGGAGGCTTCCCTGGTGGCGCAGTGGTTGAGAGTCTGCCTGCCGATGCAGGGGACATGGGTTCGTGCCCCGGTCCGGGAAGATCCCACATGCCGCGGAGCGGCTGGGCCCGTGAGCCATGGCCGCTGAGCCTGTGCGTCCGGAGCCTGTGCTCCGCAACAGGAGAGGCCACAACAGTGAGAGACCCGCGTACCACAAAAAGATAAAAATAAAAAATTGTTTGGGACAAAATTCAGCAGGGCATGGAATCCCAAGCTAAAGGGGTAAAGAGTGTAAATTTTACCGTACATGAAATGCAACATCATTAAGGATTTTTTAATAAAGGGAACTGCAATCAGTTACATTTTAGGAAGCTTAATCTGACAATAATACAAAAGACAAAACACTGTAAGGAAAATTTTATGTGATAAAGTAATACAAGATTTGAAAGTAACTTTATTTTCTTTAAAATATATTTCAATATTCTTAAATCCACTAATATAGGAACTGATAAGAGAAGTTTATCCATGTCACATGTAAGAGGCAAAAGAACATCTCTGGACATACAAGAGTTTATAGTAACTATAGAATTATCTTCTACAAGGATGCTTTTCTTTCTTAACTGGTACTCCATACTTCATGTATTTTCTAAGCACCTAAAATGTGTATGGCAATAAAAGCTGGGTAAGTATCAGTTCATTTGTACAGTATAAATATAAATAAGTCATGAGTTATATCTCAGGACAAATTGCAAGGATCCTATTAAGCCTTCCGGGTCATATGCACACTGAACTTTTCTTTGCTTCTGTGGCATCACGTTCTTTTATTTGCTCCCTACCTCTCTGGTAAATCCTTAGTGTCCTTTCTTCCACCAAATCTCTCAATGCTGGAGTTCCTCAAGGGGTCAGAACTGGGTTCTCTTCTCTTCCTGGATGAACTCATTGATCATCAATGTATGTAACACTACATGTGGATGACCAACAAATATATATCTCTAGCTGGAACCTGTTTTCTGAGCTTCAGATTCTAGCATTCAGGACACAGCTAGCCTCTAAAGCATCTGGAGGAAAAATTAGAAAAAGATGTCCCTTCCTCATAAAAAAAATTTTATTTTATATATTATGATACAACACAAACAACTATACGTGAGAGTCTCTTCACCACCCCCCTTTATTCTCCAAGAGAGGTGATTATGTCAGGTTCAGAGTTAGGTAAGGAAGAATAATTAAGTTCCTGAGAGTAGTGCATGGATGTACAAGAGAATCAACCTCCTTGGAGCTGAGAGGCAGTTGAAAGAGAGTGTAGCCACACGTATGTGTATATGCCATTGAATGTATGTGTACTTATTTTCCTGCATCTGTGCACAGCTGCAGAATGTGTGAAGATTTACGTTTCAGGAAGGAAGAGAGTTAACATTATTGCTCCAGAACTCTAACAGGAGATTTGGAATCTTCACACCTGGGTGTTTTCATAAAAAATGGCATATGTTTATGATGTGAACAGAGCCACCTTCTAGATAGTGCCCTTGCATACAAATTCAACTGTAAACCGACTCTGTTTACATTCAACTGCAGGTTTAACATCTCTACATGGACGTGGAACAGAAATCTCATTTTTAACATGTCCAAAGCAGATATTTTGACCATCTTCTCCAAATCTGCTTCTTCCTCAGGCTTCTCCATCTCAGTAAATGGCACCTTTATTTACCCAGTTGCTTATTCTAGAAAACCAGAACTCATTTTTTTTTCACCTCCTTCTCCCTTACTCTCCATATTATACGACCAAGTCCAGGAAGAACTATTTCCTAAAAATTAGTTGAATGTGTCCACTTCTCTCCATCTCTGTCATCATCACTCTAATCCTAGGTGCTACCACTTCTGACACTAATTACTGCAACAGCCTTCAGCTAACTGGTATCCTCACTTCTACTTCTTGACCCTCCCTTCACCTGGGCTCCTTGCCTTTCCATCCACAAGCTATTCTCCATATAGCAGCCTGAAAAAAATTTACAAATGTAAAACAAACCACAGTTGCCTACTAGAAGAAAGTTCAAATGCCTTAATATGGTTTACACAACCTTGGATCATCTTGAACCTACCTATCTTTAACCATATCTAGCCACAGCTCTGCTCTACCCACACTGCCTTCTTCTCACTTGTCAAATGCATCAAACTTTCCGGTTTCTGGAGCTCCTCCCATCCTGTTCCCTTCCGCCAGTACACTCTCACTCCCCACTCTCTGCCTGCCTAACTTATCTATATCCTCTAGATTTCAGCTCAAAAGTTTCTTCTTTGGAAAGGCCTTCATGGGCTCCTAAAACTAAACTGGATCCTTTTACTCTCTTAAAACTCTTCTTTATTTTTCTAACTCATCATTTGTAATTATGTACTTATTTGTATCTATTTGTTAATATGTGTCTCTCCACTTGAACATGATCATAGGGGGCATGTTTATTTTGCACAGCCGTATAAATATAGCACCTAGCACAGTATCTGTCAGAAACACGGTAAGAACATTAATACTTTTTTGGTTGAAGAAAAAATGAACATAAGCTGAAAGTTTCTGTGACCTTAAAAAAAAAAATAACCTGGTCATTGCAGAAAATTCAGAAAAGTAAGCAGAAAACAAACCAAAAAAACTCGACCATACTTTGGTTATAGATCCTTCTAAATGAATATATAGTGGGATCAAAATGTATACACTTTCAGTATCTTTTTTTCCCACCCAAATAGAGATATATTTTATTTAAATGGAATTTAAAGTCAGCATATAAAGTGAAAAAACATGCAGGGTCAAAATCATCCTTGAAGGTTGAAATTGTCTGTCTTGTCTGCTCAATAAATCCATCAGAGTCCACTTTTTCCCCCTGGCTTGTGCCTGCATCTAAGCACCTGATGAAGTACCTGACTTGTGTTTAGAGACCACATTGTACTAAAAACACTTAAACTCTAGAATCATACTCAGGGAAGCAAGTTAAAAGATGCTTAAACTATAAAAGTCAAATGCTGACACTGAACTTTGAGAACTGAGGTTTCCCACCTCTCATTTCAAACTCTCTCATGATAATATGCTGATAAGAGTGTGGAGGGTACAACACACTTGTACTTTTAAGATTCATTCTCCTCTTCTCTTTTTGTTAAATACGTGTAATTGAACTTGTTTAAATGCATGTGTGACATAATGCCAACGTATGCCAAAATTACTTATCATAGTTAAAGATATTTCATTGTAATCTATTCATCTATTCACTTATTTATGCCATCTTAAAGTTTCTTGTTTCCTGGTTTTTTTTTGGCTGCGTTGGGTCTTTGTTGCTATGTGTGGGCTTTCTCTAGTTGCGGCAAGAGGGGGCTACTCTTCCTTGTGGTGCGCGGGCTTCTCATTGCAGCGGCAACTCTTGTTGTGGAGCATGGGCTCTAGGCTCGTGGGCTTCAGTAGTCATGGCATGAGGGTTCAGTAGCTGTGGTGCATGGCCTTAGCTACTCCATGGCATGTGGGATCTTCCTGGACCAGGGCTTGAACCCGTGTCCCCTGCGATGGCAGGCAGTCTTAACCACTGCGCCACCATGGAAGCCCCTCTTGTTTCCTGTTCTTGTTCTATGTTATTTTGCTAATCTTATATACTCAACAATAATTTGGAAGATATCTAGTTTTAAAATTCTTTTAGAGGTTTTTTTTTGGTAGCTTTTATCCATTGTGGTAAAATATACATAAAATTTACTATTTTATTTTATTTATTTATTTTTTTGTTTGTTTGGTTTTTTTTTTGGTACGCGGGCCTCTCACTGTTGTGGCCTCTCCCATTGCACAGCACAGGCTCCGGACGCGCAGGCTCAGCGGCCATGGCTCACGGGCCCAGCCGCTCCGTGGCATGTGGGATCTTCCCAGACCAGGGCACGAACCCGTGTTCCCTGCATCGGCAGGCGGACTCTCAACCACTGCGCCACCAGGGAATCCCTACTATTTTAAATATTTTTAAGTATACAAGTTAAGGCATTAAGTATATTCACATTGTTGTGCAACCATCACACCATCAATCTCCAGAATTAACTCATTTTCCCAAATGGAAACTCTGTACCTTTTAAACAATAACTCCCTTTTCCTCCTCCTCCAAGCCTTTTGTGACTGGCTTGTATTACTTAGCACAATGCCTCCAAAGTCCACCCACAGTGTAGCATGTGTCAGAAATTCACTCCTTTTTAAGGCTGAATAATATTCTATTGTATGTATGTATCACATTGTATTGATCCATTCATCAGTTGATAGACATCTGGATTGTTCTCACCCTTTGGCTATTGTTAATAATGCTGCTATGAACCTGGCTGTTCAAAATCTGTTCAAATCCCTGCTTTCAATTCTTTTGGGTATATACTTAGAAGCAGAATTGCTAGATCATATAGTAATTCTATGCTTAATTTGTTGAGGAACCAATACACAGTTTTCCACAGTGGCTATACCATTTTACGTTCCCATCAGCAATACACAAGAGTTCCAATTTCACCATATCCCTGCTAACCCTTGCTCTTATT